TCGCATGTTCTGTGTCCAGTGCGCTGCCCAGCCAAACTGTGTTTCCCCCTTTGGGGTGTAGCTATATTGCAAAGCCATGTGCGCAGACGTTCCTAGGGTGTAGTACACACTTCGGTGATGCTTATGGAACTCGGTGCAAGCACCTCGGTCCTGACCGCATCACTGTGCGATTATACATCGGTTACCAACAAAATAAAATATATAATCAAAATGTATTCATATTGCAGGGCAATTTGCTCTCAAAATAAAAAACATTTTTTCTAGTGTTATCTCCTATTTCCCTGGAAATAATAATCCCTGGCTAATACCTGGAAAACAATTAGACACACCCGTAGACTCCTACGTAATGAAACCTAGTTTACTACTCCAGCAAGTAGGTCAACCCTTAGTAACGACCTAGCGACAGAGAAGCTTTCTAATCCCTGTTGAGTCAGCCAGCCTGTTTTGCTCTCGCTCTACTCCTATAGTAGCAGTTACAATGTTGCCATGGAAATATGTATAGTTTTAATCAATGGCGGAGTAATATTTATAGTGATGAGGCAGCACGGCTAGGTGTGCTGTCATGCTAATTTGAGCACTGTCTAAATGTCTAGTTGACCAATCAGATTGCTTGGTCAGAACTACCCGTTGTATAATAGTTCTTGTTTAACACGAAACCTTCAGCCTGTTTCCTATTTAAGGAGTTGCTACCCCTTTGACTCGATTCCCTGTCCCAAAGAAAGCTCTTTTATAGTGTGTGTATGAAATAATAAAGTGTCTTATTTTTCTATCTGCCAACTGTTGTTATTCTGAGGGCTCTGACACCGTGACTGGACCATACCGGACTAACAAAGGTGGTGGCAGTATTAATTGGCCTGCCTGTATCCAGTCCTACCAAGGTTTATTACAGTATTGTAAAAGTCATCTATATTTGTCTAACCTCAATGGCTTCCTTCTATGGTAAAATGTAACATATCATCGCTGAACAGAACAATTCAGCCTACATATACAGTACATTGATATTTGTATATAATTTTGCTAATTGTTGGATAATTAATATCCACATTACAGCTAAGATTCAGCAGGCTACCTGTTTTTCAAAAAAATACCAAAAGCCAAGAAAACTGCTGGCGTTCATGCAAGGTGGTCATGAAAAACTCCATATAATGCACCCAATTACATTTTGACACATACCAGACATGTAGCCTAATTGCTAATCGTTACTCCATCAAGTCAGGTCTCTGGGTAAGGTAGGTCTACTCCGCTCATCTTTGGCAGCAAAACATTTTGGAGAAAAGCCATTTGTTTGGTTGGCGGCTTTAACTCTATTGGATGTATAGACACAATACCTGGCTAGTAGGCCTACTACATCAAAGGTTTGAGCTTGCAACATAGTTCATTCTATATTATGATTTTTTTTTGTAGGATTGTCATCGACTTTTTATCATTACAAAACCTATAATTACATTCAAATGAAAGAAAACACGAAGGCAACGGCCTTTTTTTATTTAATTGGAACTACAAAGACAGACAGATAGACAGACAGACAGGGAAAGAAAGAAAGATGATTCTCGTGATGTATAGTGTTTACCTCCTTCAGGTGAATCAGGCCAATTGACCTTTGGTTCTTATAACTTGGCACCGCTTAGCGCTAAATAGTAGTAGTAGGGGGAGGAGGAGGAGGAGGAGGAGGAGGAGGAGGATGATATTGGCTCCAGATTAAAGCAGGCACTAAGGATGGCATGCGTAATAACTCTCGACACACACCTACCGACCCGGTGCTTATAGACAAGACGTTAGGGGCGTGTCCGATATGCCGCAGCTATGGACTCGCTGCTACTTCCTGAACGTCTCCAGTATGTTGGCCTATCGGGATCATACTTGGAGATGGAGCCAAGACGCACATTTTACTGCGTCACGTCACGTAAAGTCAGACCGAGATTAGCGGACTAACTGCACGAGCAACAGACCGCAGGGGCCGGGCCAATATGGAAAACATAAAAATAAAACATTTGGCCGCATTGTCCCGTCTTTTTAAGTGGTAGGTTGTTGATGCTTGTCCAACACATTTTGAAACAATTCATTCTTGCATGCACCTGCAGGTGCATGCAAGAATGAATTGAATTGCTGTAGGCTCATGTGCCTACAGCACATGTGAGCCTACAGAAATAGGCACATGTGAGCCTACAGCAATTATGTAAATGTAGGCCTAAAGGAACCACAAAAAAATACTGAATGAATCTAAGAATCGTTTGCATATAATAATATTAATAATAATAATAATAATAATAATAATAATAATAATAACAACAATAATAATAATAATACAAATTATAAAAATAATAAGAATGATAATAGTAATAATAATAATAATAATACATTGAAATAGGCCTACAATTACTATTAAAATAGGCTATTTTAATTGTAGGCTATCTCTCATAGGCCTAGCTGAACAGCATCAAAATGTAGGCCTATAATTGACATGACGCTGATAAATTAGCCTATTCTCTGGACATCAATTTGGCAAAGTGTGATTTTTAGTCTACGCTAGGAGCCTGAAAACCATTCTGGCATTTATTTTCGGTTAAAGTTTAGCCGAAGTGAATTTAAACACTAAGATTAAAAAAAACGCATGACGAGCTGTAGGAAAGGGACGTGTGATCCATGGTTGAGGGCCAACTTTGTGATAGCCTCCTTTTTTTTTTTTTTAAGACAGTGCCGTTGTTTTGTATGAGCGTTGTAATGAGCGATGTGGTTGGCCTAAATTAAATGCGCCAAACACCGTGGCGTTATACTGGAGAAGCCATCATAACCGCCCCCCCCCCCACACTCACACACACACACACACACACACACACACACACACACACACACACACACACACACACCTCGATGCCGCGTCCCTTCGTCGTGACGTCACGATTATTAGGAGACTATCAGGAGAGACTGGCAAGGACCCGTTTTCTCTAGTCTTATTTTAGTAACAGTGACAAAAATAGCATATATGACGATGTTTAAGAGCATATACATATTACCACGTTTAAAACAAACAAAAAAAGAGCAAAACGATGTTGGGTTCACTACCCCATTCTTAGCCAGAAACTTCATTGTAAATGAATTCAATATAGGCCCATGGTTTTTGCCTGCAGGCCGGATGACGCGATAAACCGCTGCAGCCAATGAGCGGCTCGCTCCCCGGTGTCTGCCAAAGTGGGACCCGTGTTTGCTTATTTCCATGTGCATAACTTGCAGTGGACCTGAAGGGGGGGGGACACTTCTGTTGACTCCCAGCGCCAGCTTGACCTTATTAACCAAAAGAGCCGGAGACAACGACGACGTGGTGGTGGTGGTCACTTCGGACGGTAAGGAGAAGTGCGGGATTTGCGGAGGTGTGTCCGCCTTTTTTCCTTACGGTATAAGCTTCCGTTTTTTTTCTATACGGAGCGCAATTTTTTTTTGGATACCCCTAAATCGTTTGCGTCTTTTTTAGCGGACTCCATGATTTTGAGGACTGCCGCATTAATGGACTCCTAAACCCCAAATGATGACGATGAGCTCAATGTCGGATAGCTTGGTCGCCGCCGATCCGTCCAAGTCGGCGTTCCTGGAGTTCGGCGGGCACGGATACCCGGGCCACCCGGGACACCAGCAGTCCCCGCCGGGTCTGTCCCACAATCACTACCCGGTGCACGGTCTGCACGGGGTGGGACCGTCGCAGACCCACGACGGTCCCTTCCCGACCGGGGCGTCCTCGTACGGACGCCCGCTGGGGTATCCGTACCACGGCGGCGTCGGCGCGCATCACGCCGGCGCCTACCTGCCCTACCAGCAGGGCGGCCACGGGGGCGCGCTGGGCCACTCCAGGCTGGAGAGTAATGGTAGGTTCCCACCGTGAGGATGATGGGCTGGTGCTTCACAGCTATGGCCTTTAGGACATGTCGCAAATGGCTTTGCACACGCACCGTTTTGCACATTATGTGTTTTAAATTCTATTCCAGTTTTGTTTCATTTTTGGCTTCAGTGAATTAGGATGCACACATGAAATGCATTGGGTTGAATTTCTCCTTTTGCATCATCTGCCTAGGAATATTTTGTCCTCGTCAACTGTTGCTTTAGTTGAGGCCTATACTGTGACCAACGGCCCCACAGCCTATTGGGTTACGTTTACAATTAGCCTTTCAAACTTGAATGGAGTTGCATGTTTAATCGATGTATTAAATGATGCCCTTAATTCAAGGAATGCATAATTCAGAATAACTAACAATGTCAAATCCTTTTCACGTGTGACACTCGACCCATCGCTTACATGGTTTTCCTATAGGCCTATACCTGCTCTGATCATGTGGTCTCCCTCAAACGCAGTGTCCAAACCATTCTGTCATTTAAAGACACTTCTTACTTCAGACTTGATTAACTTATACAGGAGTATGTGTTATTATTTTTAGTTTTGTTGAGCTACATTTAAAACAAGCTTTGTATTATTATTATTATTATTATTATTATTATTATTATTATTATTATTATTATTATTATTATTATTATTTATTTACTTTTTTAACTTTTAACTTTTAACTTTTTAACTTTTAACTTTACTTTTTTCACTCAACGTTTTAGGACTAGATTACGTTGAAACATGAAACTGAATGCTTTTTGTGCTGGACAGTTATGGGCCGTTTCCCGCCGTGTGGCCAAAAGACACGTGTCTGCAGATGTTTGCTAATCCAACTGAAACCGCAATTCTTGAACGTTAGGCCTATTATTATTTAATAATAATAATAATAATAATAATAATAATAATAATAATAATAATAATAATAAAATGATAATAACAATAATAATAATAATAATAGGCTAATAATAATAATAACAATACTACTACTAATAATAATATAATAGCCTAATAAGAAACATATGTAGCCTACTAATATGTGTTATGATTATTTTGATAGTAGGCTAATATATGCCAGTTGTTGGACGCTTTTATCCAAAGCGTCTTACAATACCGTGACATATATTTAGCATGGTGGTCCCAGTGGTAATCGAACCCCCAACCTTGGCAACGTTACTGCCATGCTCCACCAGCTGTGCCCAGGGCC